ATATTTTTTTATGGTTAATGATGATAAAATATTTACAAATATGACACGTGACTTTTACACGGATAGAATCTATCTCATCTTAGTTATGAATACATTCGATATTTGTAGTCATTGAAACATTTCTCCATCATTAAAATTCTATTCCTTCTGCTCAACAACGACATTATCTCCATCATTGGATCCACTACCTCTAACATTACCACACTTTTTTCCTCTTCCCCTACATTTAATTGAAATCAAAATTTTGCTGAAAATGTATTTTCAAATATGAAATATCATTTTCACGCATGTCAAATTTATCGTGTCCAAGTTTTGAACATTTTGTTAGATCAACTCCTTAATTATTCCTTATCTTCAAAACTTTAACTCGCTAATAGGTTCTTGATATTTTAGTTGGTGAGCTTCATGTTGAGGTTTAACTTCATTTTCTTCACAACTAATCATTAGTACCCAAAATTGTATATTGGTCACAGAATCATAGTTTAGATAATGCATGTGATTTAATAATGCAAACTTAAAGAACTTATACTAGGAACGCTTTAATTTAATATTTTTTTCACGCTTTGACTTACATAAAAACACGTTCCTTCTTGCTAATATGTTTGTTGGTCGATTGATTCTTCAACTTTGACTTACTTTAATTAATTTCTGAAAGTAGGATGGTAAGAACTAATTTTTTAATGTTAAATAATCATAATAATTATAGTGGTTATAAAATGATAAGTGGTATCATGGATGGTCATATCATCGACAAGCTTATAGAAATTTCAAAAATAAATAAACAGAGGCAACCACACTTTCTGGAGATACATTGATCCACAAGAAACTCGACAAACTCTTGAAATAGCATAAGCTAACTTGAGGAAGCCGAATGCAAGAGTAAAATAACTTTCATCTTCCATAAATCATGGAGGGTATTAATGTACATAAAATTGCCAAGTGTATATAATCAGAGACAGATAAATATTTGTACCTACATTCTAGGTTTGAAGATCGAATCATATCATTGATTTGTTGATTGGTTGATTTTTGCAGAGAATATTTCTTAAATGCATAGCAACCACCCGTTGGTCCGACTAATTATGTTTTATATAAAATCAACTTATCCTTGTACCTTACTATATTCAATATCTTCAATGATTTATTTGTGGCAACATCCTATTATTAAATATTCGAAGTCTCTTGACTATAGTCTTGATATCGGTTTATGGGACATTGACAAATTATAGGCTCATTTCTCGATCAATGTGAGACAATATGTCTGGATTTGTCAAGCACGATAATTAAATTTATGATCTTATACCATATGATATAACTTTCAACCAATGCCTCAATTTGTTCATATCTTCTTATTAAGTATTTTAAAGTTAAGATTTTCTTATTAGTATTCGTAATCGATAGGGTGCATCTAAAACACATTGCGAGCATATGTAACATTTACTACTTGAATAGTAGATTTATTCTTTTAAATAAATTAATATGTAAATTAAATTTAGAAATTCTTAGAACCATTTTAATATGTTTTATAAACCCAATTGTGAGTGGAAGTGTTAATAATTAAAATGAAAGTGTTAATAATTAAAATGAAGAAGTGTTCTTCTTAGACACATAAACCTACTCTCGACAGAAATTTTTTCCTAATAACTTCATGCCGGTCTTTGTAAGCTGATTAATATCTTTCTATGGTGGTGAGTTAGCTGATTACTAGAATTTAGGGGATGGAGCGGATTTTTTATATTATATTTTTATCTGTCAATTTTTTTATTTTTAATAATTAAATTTACAAAATTATCATTCCTACAAACACTCAAAGACCGAAAATTTGGAATGAAAAATGTTCTGAAGGAGAACCAACATGTACTAATGGTATGAAAAACTTAAATGGATATCAAGCCCACACAGTAGGGGTGTAAGCTTGACCCGGAAGACCACTGGCTCGTCTGGACCCATACGGGTCAGCTTGTCTAAAGGGTTAGTGTGTACATGTATGGTTAATTTATCTTGTCGGGTCGTAGGTTTGGTGGATGGGTCCAATATGGCTACCATCTAAATCAAAAAATGGATGGTAGTGTCCAATAATGGATGGTAGTGTCGAACATCATGGACACCGTCCAACCCTATGGTGGATGGTACTATCCAAGATCAGGGACACCATCGCAAATATAATGGACACCATCTAAACTTAAAGTGGATGGTGCCATGCAACAACATGGATACCATCCATGTTATTTGGTGTATGATGACCATCTAATTGTTCATCCATGGTACATATGGTTGATTATCAAGGGACATGATGACGTGGCGAAGGTGGTTACCAGAAGCAATAGCTGACTTGCAAATGACGCTCGGAGGAGTTACTGGATGCTACGTGGAGGTAATTTCGAGGAAGAGAGAGAAGGTTGTTAGAGGGCGAGACACAACAAAACTTGGTGCAAGGTTCTGGAGGAGGACAGACAAATCAAAACACAAACAGTCTCGTCAAAATTTATCTTTTCTCTATAGAACAGTAACCGTAGCAGTAACACCAGGGACCCTCCAACGAGGCTTCTCTGTTAGTTGTAGTCAATAGTTGCGGAGCTCTCAAGAAATCTCCATAAGAGTAGAGGTAACAGTAACCAGATCCTTTGATGTATGCATCGAACACCCTCGCTCGAACAGTGTTTCAAGAGGTGTGAACCGAGTAACATCGTTTTCTGTTTTCTTGAAGTCATGCTGCATTGATCACACGAAATTCCACTTGAAACAAATGGGCACACCTAGTGGGACAACGTGTGTTCGATATGCCTCCACGATGAAAGATTCAGGATTGAGATCCTCCACAAGGTGTGGAGGAGGAGCGGTTGATCAACGTTGATGTTGACCAAGCTGGAGGAAACAGTGCTGGACCAGTGGTGCCACCCATGGTGCCTAATGCAGATCCAAGTGAAGCATCACCATCGATTCGCCAAATGATGGAATACTGGTGGTTGGGATGAACAATACCTATTAGCAGGTAAACCTTCGTCTTGCTTCTTTGGATGAGCGTATTGATGGTTTGAGTTCACGTACTGATAGATGATGTGCTCAATTATTTGAGTTGGTAAACAAAAATACGAATGATTTGGGTGAGTTTAGGCAATTGTTGAACAGGCCAGTTTTACAAACTAGGACTTTGTCTTCAGATGGTCGAGACTTTCCTAATCTTGAAAGTGAAAACATTAACCTACCATCCAACAATGGTAGTCGGGGTGAGCATCCACTTCATCTCATATCCATATGGAGCAACCGCCACCTGTGCAAGGTGTTGCTCGACAAAACATTCCAAAATCCAGACCCTACATGGCTCCTAGGGTTTGGATCCAAACAATATTGACCCGATACCACCACGTGCGTACCCTCAGCAAATCCCACCCATGTTAACATGCAAGGCATGGATCCTGGTGGATTCATACCTCTTGGGGGCAACAAGGGGGACATGAGGTGAATACACTCTATGATCATATGGCACAATTGTTGGCTGAACAATTCGGTTCTGATACAAGACTAACGATGCCACCAGTCTATCGAAAGCCGTATCCGCAGTGGGTGGATAGAATGTATCTGTTCCCAAGAGAGTTTAGGGTACCAGAGTTTGTCCTTTTACTGGAACTGGTGACCAATACATGGTGGAACATGTTGGACAATTCACTGTTCAATGTGGTGATGTGGGTGATTTTGTCAAACTGCGTTTGGCAACTCTTTGACGGGACCTGCTTTTGCATGGTACGTCAATTTGCCATCTAATTCTGTGCAAACATGGCAACAAATGAAACAAATGTTCCATGTGAAATTCTATCGTTCTCAACCAGAAGTAACCATGGCTGACTTGGCACGTATGCGCCAGCAACCAGGGGAGATTGTGGAACACTTCTTGACAAGTTTTAAAAATGCACGTAAATTGTAGTTTTGTGAACCTGACGGAACGTCAATTTGTCAAGCTAGCACAAGTTGGTTTAAACTTTGAACTTCGTAAAATATTTCAAGATAGGGAGTTCTCAGATTTATTCTACTTGATGTCATGTGAGGTTAGGTATGAGACTCTTCTACGTGAAGAAGAGAATATAAGTAGTGCATCTAGGGGACTGTACCACCCTAACTTTGATTATGCAATAAACCATGTTGCTCGAGATGGGGATGTTGTCGAGATAGATTTGGATGAAATTGTGCTAGGGAAGCCATACGTTTGTGATTCCTTAGTAAAAATGAATAATGGACAACAAGTTGGAAAACCTAACCGTGCTCCAGTCCAACCTAGAAAATTTTCTTTTAATGTGGCCAATTTAGACTTAATTTTTGACCAGTTGTACAAGGATGGTCAAATTAAACTGTCTGGGGGGGCATAGTATCCCATCCCCTGAGAAGTTAAAAGGAAAACATTACTGCTAGTGGCATAATAGTATGTCACATGCCACTAATAGTTGTGTGGTTTTTCGTAATGTTTTGCAGGATACGATTGACAAGGGACGCATCAAGTTCCCAGACCCTAAGAAGGATGCCATGACAGTGGATACTGATCCATTCCCAAATGTCATGGGCATCAACATGGTCAATCCTAACTTTTCAAAGATTGACTTGCCACACTTCAAACTGGTGTTGGATACAACACCGCAGCCAAGTGGCAACCCCAATGTCATTGTGCAGGGTGGCTCATCATCAACTGATATGCAAGATGAGCCACGTATTGATCCTCCTCATGAAGAAAATTTGTGTGCACAGTGCAAAGTGAAGCTGAATCTTGGTGGAGAATAGACCAACCCAATCGATCCGTCAAAGACTTGGTCCACAGAGACCATTCAAGGCAAGGTATCCACCATATGAACGTCTGGTGGACCTTTTGGACTCTCCCTACCTTTCAGAAGTTCACCACCTGTTAGAAGAACCTTCAAGATGCCTAATGTGCCATCAAGTGGATGGCACACTTATGATGTTCGTGGTAAACAACCAATTGCAGTGGATTGGATGACAAGGACACAATATAGAAGGTGTTTAGGCCTAGAATGTGCTAGGCGGTTTGTGCGGAACGAGCAAGGCGTCTGATCAGGATGATGGGGGACTCCAAGCTCCTGCAAAACAAGGGTCCGTGGGCGGTCGCCCAGGACACTCTCCGATGCTTAAGTTAGAGAGAGAAGGGAGAGCTTATGTTTGTTTGGAGAGAGAGTAGTAGTTGGTTACCATTAATGCCGATCCCGGTGTATTTATAGTCCCTTCTCTCGAGCATGGGCATTAAATGCTATTGTCAGGCGGCCTATGTGCACCTTACCTTTTCTAGACCGCCTACGGCGGGCATTTAATGCTTGTTCCTGCTGTGTCCGAGGTAGGTATCCCTAGGAAGATCTCCTTTCTGACACCAACGGCCACTTGTGTCAGGCGGCCTAGTCCCCGTCTTGTCGTAGGGCGGCCGCCTGCTGTTACCTTTCTCCCATACTCCTCCTCGGGTTCCCCACCGAGGCCCTCGACTCCTCCTTGGGCCCTGCTTGACTATTCCTTTATGGGCCTCGAGCCCACTACTGCTCAACTATGGGCCCAACAATTGCCCTTTAGTCGGGAAAAGCTTCGGGTTTTGGCGGCTACCTATTGCCAAACTATAGTTGAGCGGTCCCCTATCACAGCTAATACTTGCCCTTTGCCCCTGGCCGCCAAGAGACGAAGGGTTCTCCCAACGCGGTCCATTGGCCATGTTGCTTAGCCTTCCTGACTTCATCGCTTCACTTCGGCTGAGGGTTTGTTTCCATTGTTCCCCTCCTCACGCTGTTGTGAGGGTCAAGCGGTCCGCTGGATTATCATCGTCTTCCTAGCCGTGTGATCGTGTGGGGCATTCCCTGCGGCCGACCCCTAGTCAAGATGGTTGATGCTACGACTGAGGATTTAGGCACTTCTGCTATTTCCCCCTCCTCGAGTCGTGCCATAAATTAGGCGGTCCCCACTTGTTAATGGCGTCTCGCGTTCCAGAGTTTGATGCGGTTAACCTCCAGTCGATTCGGCTTCTGCAGGCCGTTGCGCCGTTTGCATGCTACGCCACGTGTATGCTCTCGAAATTGGTGCACTGACACCGGGCAGGCCTCATGTCCAATCAGCTGCCCGGCTTTTTGAAATCCCTAGAGTAGGGTTTGCCCTCGGTCACTCAACCGTCGCTTCACTTGCCCCCTTTTTGCCCTATTTAAGTTCGTTCTTCCTCCGATCTTCTTCTTCCTCCCCATTTTGCTCGTTGTTGCTTCTTTTCTTTTCCCTTGCAAACAATTCGCTTCGTGCGGTTTTACATTTTGTATGCTTATTTTTGTGGAGCCGCCTTTGCTGCTCCCTGTGGATGATTATATTTTGAATGCTTAGTCTCTTTGCTTCTATCTTTTTAATGCGTCTGTGATACATGCGGGTTATGCTTTGATGCTAAGACCGCTCTGAGGCGAGTTTGGGCCTCGTGGCCTTAATGTTCTGGGCAGTATGCTCGGAAGCGGCTTGCGGGCCTTGTTCTTCTTACGATGTTTGCTGTGGGTGCTCGAGGGCGGTTCGCATGACCTTCTTACGCTTAGCAGCGGTTTAAAGCTGGGCTCGGGGGCAATTCATACGACCATTTTACGCTTAGAGGCGGTTTTAAGCCAGGCTCTGAGGCGCGGTGCTCAGGGGCGGTTCATATGGCTATTTTTGCCTTAGTCTTAGAACAAATTCTGCTATACTGCCAAAAGGTAACGCTCGGCGGCGTTTTTGATTGATCGTGCATCTGGGTGCACTAGGAGGACGCCTACTACTATGCGCCTTGTACAAAACGGATGGCTTTAATGCCCCGAACCGTCGGGCTAGTTAAAATACTTCTTCAGATGGATGGCGTTCCACGTCTTTGTCAACGGCTTCCCCTCCATTGTGGCGAGTATATATGTCGCTGGTCCCAACTTCTCGCCCACAAGGTACGGCCCTTCCCATGCGGCCGCCAGTTTGCCATGCCCTTCCTTTTGCTCGAAGTTCCTCTTCAACACCATGTCACCTTCCTCCAATGGTCTGGGCTTCACTTTGGCGTTGTATGCCTTCGCCGTCTTCAACTTTTCCTCCAGAGTCTTAACAAACGCGGCGTCTCTCCTCGTTTCCACCATGTCCAAGTGATGTAGGAGCTTCCAGTGATTATCCTCGGGGTTGTATGCCTGGACGCGCAGCGAAGGTAGGACCAGCTCCGTTGGTGCGACCGCTTCAGAGCCATACGTCAGTGCGAATGGCGTTTCCCCGGTAGCTTGCTTGTAGTTCGTGCGGTGCGCCCACAGCACATGGGGAAGTTCCGCTGTCCACCCTCCTTTTGCCTCCTTCAGCCTTCTCTTTAAGCCCCTCAGGATTAACTTGTTGGATGACTCCACTTGTCCATTGGCTTGTGGGAATGCAACGGATGCCATCTTGCAGTTGATGCGATTTCGGGCACAAAAGTTTTCGAACGGTCTGCAATCAAACTGCGTGCCATGATCAGTTATGATAGTGTGAGGAGTCCCGAACCTGATCATTATGTTGTTGAACAAGAACTTCTGGATTTTGGCACTGCTGATCGTATCTAGCGGCTCCGCTTCAATCCACTTTGTGAAGTAGTCGACCGCCACCACCAGATACTTCTTCCCCAAAGGCGCTGTGGGAAATGGTCCCAAGAGATCTAGGCCCCACTGCGCGAATGGCCACGGTCCTGTGATGCTTTTCAACTGCTCGCTTGGCAGGTGTTGCTTGCTGGCGTGAATTTGGCATTCATGACACTTCTGAACCGCCTCCATTGCATCCTTCTTCACCGTTGGCCAGTAGTACCCTTGAAGTGTTATTGTCCTCTCCAGGCTGCGCGGTCCCGAGTGGGTAGCGCACGTGCCTTGATGAATCTCTTTGACAATCCACTTTGCCTCTTCTGGACCGAGACACTTGAGATAGGCTCCCGAGAAGGACCTCTTGCATAGCTGCCCCTCCACAATGGTGTAGTGGGCCGCCTTTCTTTTGATTGCTTTGGCTAAGAGCGAGTCCCCTGGTATTACATCATTTTGTAAGTAATCTACCAGAGGTGACCGCCAATCTCGCACCTCTTCGAGGGCCATTACTTCATACGCCTGAGCTGCTTCTTTTGTCACGGTCACATGGCGCTCTCCTTCAAAATCCATCGCGGTTGCCAGCTTTGACAGGGCGTCCGCATGGTGATTGTCCTCCCTTTTCACGTGCTCTAGCTTCCAGGAATCTAACTGTGCTAAGGTTCCCTTCACCTTCCCTGCTAACTCTGCTAAGGCTTCTTCCTTGGCTTCATAATTCTCCAACACTTGGTTCACTACGAGCAGCGAGTCAGAGTATATGTGCAAGTGCGAGGCGCCCATGTTGATGACAATTTTCAGACCGCTGAGAAGCGCCTCGTATTCTGCTACATTGTTAGTCTTCAGCTCCAAGAACCGGTGGGAAACTTCGTGTATTACCCCTGCTGGCGTTTCGATAACAATTCCTGCTCCTGCACCTCCTTTTCCAGCTGCCCCGTCCACAAATAGGCGCCAGACTTCAACTTCATTCTTCTCCTTGGTGTTTTCTAGACTGAATCCCTCGGCGACAAAGTCAGCGAGCACTTGCCCCTTGATAGAAGGCCGCGGAGCGTATGCTATATCGTACTCGCTGAGCTCGACCGCCCATTTAGTCATTCTCCCCGAGACGTCCATTCCCTTCAGGATCTTCTTCAGGGGCAAGTTTGACAACACGGTTATCTGATGCCCTTGAAAGTAGGGGCGCAACTTTCTTGCTGCTGATACCACGGCTAGGACCGCCCTCTCGATGGGCATGTAGCGCCTCTCTGCTGGGAGGAGCGCCTTGCTCACATAGTACACTGGACGGTCTGAGCCATCGCCTTCTCTTCGTACCAACACTGAACTGACCGCTTGATCGGACACTGCCAGGTAGAGATACAGTGGCTCACCTGAGCGCGGAGCGCTTAAGACAGGGGGTGACGCCAGCTGCTCCACCAATTGGAAAAAGGCCTTGTCACACTCCGCGTTCCATTGTGAGCGGGACGCCAACTTCTTCAGCATCTGGAAGAAAGGCGAACATTTATCCGCTGACCTAGGAATAAAGCGGCTCAACGCGGCCATCTTGCCATTGAACGCCTGAATTTCCTTGATGGTTTGAGGCGGTCTCAGACTAGTTACCGCCTCAATCTGCTTCGGGTTAGCCTCAATCCCTCGGCTTGTAATCATAAATCCCAAAAACTTGCCTGCTTTGGCGCCAAAAACGCACTTCAAAGGATTCAGCCGTAGGCGCTCCCTCCTTAGGCTCTCGAAAGTTTCTTTGAGGTCTGTCAGGTGGTCGCCTTCCTTCTTGCTCTTTACGAGGACATCATCCACATAAGCCTCCACGTTTCTTCCCAGTTGGCTTTTGAAGACTGCGTCTATCATCCGTTGGTATGTTGCTCCGGCGTTCTTCAGGCCAAATGGCATGACCGTGTAGCAGAAGTTGCCCATGTGAGTCATGAAAGTAGTCTTCTCCTGATCTTCTTCAGATAAGCGGATCTGGTGGTACCCTGAAAACATGTCAAGAAAGCTGAGACTTTCATGATTGGCGGTCGCGTCTATGAGCTGATCGATTCTTGGTAATGGATAGGCGTCTTTTGGGCATGCCGCGTTCAGGTTTGTGAAATCTATGCACATTCGCCATAATCCAGAGGCCTTGCGAACGAAAACGGGGTTCGACAGCCAAGTTGGGTATTTGACCTCCCTTATGAACCCAGCTTTTAGTAACCGCCTAACTTCTTCTTCTAGTGCCATCTGCTTCTCAAGGGATGCGGCCCTTCTCCTCTGCTGAACGGGTTTGGATTTGCTTTTTACTGCCAAGTGGTGTTCCGCGAGCTCCCTTGAGACGCCCGGCATGTCCTCCGAAGTCCATGCAAACAGATCCTTGTATTCTTTGAGGAGCGCCAACAGCTCCTGCGCTTTCTCTTCCGCTAAGTGGGATGCGATTCTCACTTTTTTCTCTGGTTCAGCGCTATCTAGTATGACTTCTGCGTCTCCCTCTACTGCCTCGGGGCGTGGGTGGCTTCCTCTTGTATCCACCAGGTCTACTTCCAAACTTTGAATGGTCGCTTGGTAGCATTCCTTTGCCTGTTCGGTGTTTCCCTTGACTTGTCCCACTCTTCCGCCCACAGGGAACTTCAGCATCTGATGACAGGTGGAGGGAACCGCCGAGAACAACGACAGGAAACCGCGCCCCAGAATTGCATTATACGCTGACGGGCAGTCAGCAACGTGGAATTCCATTGAGCGTGTTTTGGTTATGTCCGCTTCCCCAATTGTCACCTGGAGGGTGACCACGCCTAGCACCCTGATTTTTGACCCAGAGAAGCCCACTAGGCTTGTTGACGAGGGCTTGAGATCTTGAACGCTCATCTTCATGCTTTTGAGGGTGGAGTAGAACAGTATGTCGGCTGAGCTTCCATTGTCAACTAGCGCCCTGGTAACTTTGAATTTCCTTGTCCTCAAAGAAATTACTAACGGATCCTCAGCGTTCTCACCAGGGGCTAGCTCGGAGGGTGAAAAGCTGATGTCAACTTGTTCGCTTCTGTTGACATTGAGGCACTGTACTAGGCGGTCTCCTTCGCTCCTGGGCCTCTTGCGACCGCCTGCAATGGTTATCACTTCGACGTCGTCCTCGTTTAACCGTGGCTGTCGGCGGGGAGGCGACCTTCTTGGCGGTGGTGGGAGCCGATCACGTCCGGGTGACCGCTCACGCCGACGTGACCTCGATCTTTCACGCTTCGGCGTTCTTGATCTCTTTCTTGGGCTTGGAGATCTCTCCTTGTGACGCCTCTGCTCTTGATTGTGCGGTCTCGTGTCTAAACGACTTTTGAGATCTCCCGGCGCCAAGTATTTCAGGCTTGCTTTGAATTCCCGACACTCGGTGGTGTCATGGGTGGGCATCTGGTGCCAGTCACACCATTTTCGATCCTCTTCTCTTCTATGCGTCTGGTGCGCACTGCTGTCGCCTTTTCGGTCTCGACCTTCTTCTCTGCTGGTAGCAAAAACTTCCCTCCTGTTATCCCGATGAGCATATCTTGATTTGTAGCTCCTCTTCTCGGGGGACCGCCCCCTCCCCCTAAGCGATCCTCCTTTCTTCCTTTCTCTTTCTTTTACATGGGCTTGTTTGGCCACGTCCTCCACCATCATGGCTTCTTCCAACAGGATCGCCTTTCTCACTAGGCGGTCTAGGTCTGGCCATTCCTTGAGGGTATGCTCTTTCTTGATAAGCGCTCTCCGTAGCTCGCTGCTGTGTGTGGACATACGTAGGTTGCCGGCCGCTACACTTGGGGAGATCCCTTGCACTTCACAGGCTATGGTGTTCCACCGGTCATAGAAATCCGTCAGCGGCTCTTCTGCCCCTTGTTTACAGTTGATTAGTGAAGATACTGTTAGCTTCCTTCTTCTCTGGGACGCGAACTTTGAGGAAAAGAGGGTCGCGAACTGCTCAAAGTCTTCAATTATCCCCCCGGGTAAGGAGGTATACCAAGTCCTGCACTGACCGCCGAAGGTGACCGGGAACGCCTTGCACAGATCCGCGTCTGTAGCATTAATGAGCTGCATCTTCAGCATGAATGCGCTCAAATGGTCGGTGGGGTCTGAGTTTCCATTGTATGTAGGCAGCCCGAGTGATGAGAAGTTGGGTGGAACCTGAGTTCTGAACAGACTCCTGGCTAGCGGGTTCTGGAGGATGGTGGGACCCTTTACTTTGCCATACGTGGGCTTGAGATGTTCCTCTAGAAATCCCAAGCTATCTCCCGCGTCTTCTTCTTCATCGGGCTCCCCGCCTTCTGTCCGAGCAGGGCTGACGGGACCGCTTTCTTTCTCCTTCCCTTTGCTAGACCGCTTTCCTGAGCCTCCTGGCGCTTCCACTTCCTTCTCTTTGAGCATGGCCAATATCTGACCTAGGCTTTCTTGCATGCTCGATATTTGCTGCCCTTGACTCTTTACGCGGTCCTCCATCTCCATTTCCTCCTCCACGGTGGGCATTTCCAATCCTCGGATGCCGCTCATCTGCGCGTCTGGTGCGCGGGGGCTGCTTCTTCCTACTACGCCTTTGACGGGAGTGTTGGAGCTCCCATCCATCCTTTCTTCAGTGCTCTTTCTCGCCCCACGGTGGGCGCCAAATTGTTTAGGCCTAGAATGTGCTAGGCGGTTTGTGCGGAACGAGCAAGGCGTCTGATCAGGATGATGGGGGACTCCAAGCTCCTGCAAAACAAGGGTCCGTGGGCGGTCGCCCAGGACACTCTCCGATGCTTAAGTTAGAGAGAGAAGGGAGAGCTTATGTTTGTTTGGAGAGAGAGTAGTAGTTGGTTACCATTAATGCCGATCCCGGTGTATTTATAGTCCCTTCTCTCGAGCATGGGCATTAAATGCTATTGTCAGGCGGCCTATGTGCACCTTACCTTTTCTAGACCGCCTACGGCGGGCATTTAATGCTTGTTCCTGCTGTGTCCGAGGTAGGTATCCCTAGGAAGATCTCCTTTCTGACACCAACGGCCACTTGTGTCAGGCGGCCTAGTCCCCGTCTTGTCGTAGGGCGGCCGCCTGCTGTTACCTTTCTCCCATACTCCTCCTCGGGTTCCCCACCGAGGCCCTCGACTCCTCCTTGGGCCCTGCTTGACTATTCCTTTATGGGCCTCGAGCCCACTACTGCTCAACTATGGGCCCAACAGAAGGTTCCTTCGCAAGAATGCTCAGCAAAAGAAGATTTACAACATGAATACCAATGTTCATGTGAACAACTCTGCTGCCACTAGTCTCAAGGTCACGGTGTCTGATAGTGGCAAGAGTGTGGAGAAGAATGATGAAGCCCCAGAAAATGATGGGTATGATGCAGAGCAGGACGAGTCATTCATGGAAGAAGAGATGTTGGATTCGGAACATCCAACGTCAAAATTTGATCGCAACAACAAGGAAGATGAGGATGATGATCATAACACGTCCATAACCATTCAGTTTGGTAGTTTGCCACCTGTTGTGGTGAATAAATACATTTTGCCAATGATCTTTCACTTTGAGATGGATGGTGAAAGAGGAGATGGTGAATTTGAAGTGGAGGATGAGGAGCTGGATGAAGCAAGCCATGAGAAAACCATTGCAGGGTTGGTTGGTGGATTTGGCGAGATAGATTTGGATGGAGAAGATGAAGAGTCACTAGTTGCTGAACTGGTTACTAAGTTTGCAAGTTTGGCACTAGAGGATGAGCCGTAGAGTGTCATGATGGCCCGTATGGGAGCAAGAATCAACTTGTTTGCTGAGACAGCAAGGCAACACAAGAGTTCCCAACAAGTGATCTCATCCCAATTCCCAACATAAGTGTTTGTTACTAGCTTCAATGGTGGTTTCACCAATGGAAAGGGGATACTACCAGTAGTTGTAAGAGTGGGTAGCCAAGAGAGAATGGTTGCGTTATTTGTCGTTGATGGAGCAATCAGCTACGACACTTTACTCGGTAGAGACTGGATACATGCTAATAAGTGTCCAGGGAAATGATGATGTGTCGAAGGTGGTTACCAGAAGCAACAGTTGACTTGCAAATGGATGCTACGTGGAGCTAATTTTGAGAGAGAGAGAGAGAGAGAGAGAGAGAGAGGCGGTTCGAGGGCGAGACACAACAAAACTTGCAGCAAGGTTTTGGAGGAGGACAAACAAATCAAATATCAAACATTCTCATCAAAATTTATCTTTTTTCTCTAGAACAGTAGCCGCAGCAGTAGCACTAGGGACCCTCCAACGAGGCTTCTCTGTTTGTTGTAGTCAGTAGTTGCAGAGCTCTCAAGGAATCTCCATATGAGTAGAGGTAACAGTAACCAGATCATTTGATGTATGCATCGAACACCCTCGTTCGAATAGTGTTTGAAGATGTGTGAACCGAGTAACATCGTTTTCTGTTTTCTTGATCACACGAAATTCCACCTAAAACAGTCAGATTAGGGACGGGTCATTTATTGACCCTGTAAGGGTCGGGACGGGTAGGGACAACTTTGAGACGGGTCACTTTTTGACCCTGTGACCCTTACCAACAACAAATATCTCATACCACATTGGGTTTCTGTGTAAAGTTTCCGAAGTTTAGGTACTAAATTGTAAAATAAAAATTATGGGTACCAAAACGTAATTTTACCATCAAAATTTATGCACTTATTTGTAAAAAAAATTAGGTACTAAATTGTTAGAAAAATTATTTTAGGTACCAAAACGTAATTTGAAAAAAATAGTGTGTTGATTAGGATCGACCAACTGACCCGACCCATACCGTCCCGACCCGTCCCAACCCTTAAGGGTTAGACATGATCAAGAAGAAAATAGGTCAGACTGGTTCAGATTAATTTTCAGCCCTACCACAGAGCATAAACAAAATCAGAGTCCAACCATCATTAGGGATTGATAAATTTAAACCGACAATTCTCTAACTCCACCAGTGACCCAACCCAATTGTCTAAGAAGCCCAAACAGCATCGAATGGTTAGACCACTCCGAGATCTGTCACGGGCCAAGGGAATAGAATAGGAAGTGAACAAGAAAAACAAGAGATCGAGGCCCAGGTTTTAGATCGAGTAATTAGCATATCGCGCGTAAAGATATATAAACAGACAAAAACACACATATATAATAATATAAATATGTGCTGCCAATTCGAGGTTTACGAATTCACAACCTCAATTGACCACCACCTAATTCGTATGTTTAATATCTCCTGTTATGATCACCATCATCATCATATATATAGTGTACAATACTACTACTACTGGATTATTAACTATTTATCATCACATCAGCCAGCATATAACACAGTACTAATTAGCTAATTAATTAAGCAAAGAAATTAATGCCCCTGGCCAGGGCTAGGACCCGAGTCTTTGACTTGTCCAAGCACGGCAGCAGTCCTTCTCATCATCGCCTTACTCTCGCCGTGTTTGTGCCCTACTCCCGGGCTCGGCCCCGACTTGTTCGTCTCTGCAGCTTTCACCAAGCTCGCCAACAAGCTGCTGGACCCGGACTCCTTCATCCGCCGTGCATCCGTGGGAACAATGAGCAGCAGAAGTAGGAAGAAAACAGTGAACATGGGTCTATTGGGAATGAGTGCAGTAGCCATAATATATATAAGTGATTACTGTTTCTGGAGAAGGTGTTGGTTTAGTTTTTCTGGTTTATCTATCTAGGAGGAGGGGAAGGTGCGGAATTTATAAAGGTTTCACTCAACTATGTAGAAGAGTTCTTGAGGAGGACTGCCTTGACTAAAAGGGGAAATTAAATTTAATTAATTAATTGGTTAAGTAAATTTGAAGAAGTTTGTAAAATTCAAAAGAGCATGTGAAAGAGTTTGATGTTGAGAAGTGCCGCCGCGCCACAGTACCACACTTGCTGGTTCATGGTATGGGGAACCATTTTGGGGTTTGAGGTGGTTTCTTAGGAAACTGAAATTCTTACACCTTCTTTCCCAAGTTTGGTTTCCTAGAGATCGAAGTGGGCACCATGTGTTACTTAATGTCAACTACAGTTTAATAAATAAACAAATAAGGTAGGTTTAGCTTTCTTCCCAATATACAAATGAAGGGTTGCATACTTGGTTGTTGGAATGTGGTGAATTATTATTGTTGATGAACTTCAGGGTGAAATGCATGTAGATGATGAAGTTTAACTTGACACGTACATACTCAATCATTTTCAAACAATGTAAAAGATTTGAGGGTGGTACATAAAATATACATGTAAAGGTTACAAGATGATAGTTATTTCAGATATAATTTTAGAATTAGAAGGTTTCTGTAAATTTTTCGTTACGACTTAACGTTTTCGTAGCACACAATTGATATTCATTATGTAAAAGGACCTTCAATTATGTACAATATTTGTCATGACATTTTAATTGTTACATAAGATAAACATACATTATGTAAGATTTTCGTAACTATATTTTACACTTGATATAGAAAGAAATCAATGTCGTTCCAATGGATTATGTTATGTAACAGTTAAATCAAACGTGTTATGTAAGCCTTTCGCAATTTCTTAAAATTTTACATAATTTGGTGATAATATTCATTATCTAGAAGGGATTCCATTACGTGGCGGGTTATGCAATGACATTTTAAAATTCTTACGTAAAATAAACATAAATTACGTTAAAAATTCAAAATAGTAGTTATTTCTTACGTAACGGTTAAATCAGAAGTGTTACGTAGACTTATGTGATAACTTAACACTTTACCTAATGTGGGTTAATATTTATTATATAAAATTACCTTCCATTACGTGAGGTTTACCAACTGACGTTTTACAACTATGACCCAAAATATAATTTCATTACATAAAAATTACAAAATGATATTTATGTCTTACGTAATAGTCAAATCAAAAGTATTACGTAACGCTTCCATAATGGACTAAGACTTATCATAACACATTGTTAATATTCATTACGTAGAATGGTTGTCCATTACGGAAGGCTTGCGTAACCAAGTTATCTATGATTTAATGGAGTAACATAGAGTTACGCAAAATAGACCTCTGTTATGGCTTTACATTGTACGTAGCTCGATATTTATACTCATTACGTAAACAGGTCATCTATTATGTACCACTTACGTAACACCATTTTACACCAGTTTCATAGATGAACATAAATTGCGTAAATTATTTAATGACTAGTTTATTTTACGTAATGCAACATGCAGGAAACCTGCTATGCCAATAAAAATTCCAATTTTCTCCCCAGGGTAATGCAACCTGCAGGAAACCTGCTATACCAATAATAATTCCAATTTTCTCTCCAGATATAGAGAATCAGTCCATGAAATTAAAAGAACAAATTTACTGTTTCAGGTTGGTGGGTTTGGACGAAAACGAAATTTTCCAAACAAGTCCAAATCTAATCTATGATATAGGAAGAATCTAGACGGTTATAATTAGTTGAAAAGGGCTCAATCAATGGGTCCAAAGATCAAGAAAACTGCTGCCAAAGTCTCTGCATTTCCCCTGTTTCATTCTCCTAGGATGTACATATATAATAAATAATAATTAAAAACTATCATAACTAACAAGGTAGGTTAGTTCCATGTTTGCACTGCATAAATGATCAGCTGATCCACCGCTATCCCCATAACCAGAAACGAAAAAGGGAAGAGATCAAGAGACCGTTGGTGTCTCTTGGAACTTGCATAGATTTTCTTTGAAGCAATCGAGTACTAATTATCTTTCCTTAACGGTACTATATATAGTTGATACAACATAGACGACGGATTGTTTTCTATCCCTATTCCCTTTCCTTGCAAACGCTTTCTTCTCTTTTTGATATTGTTATAAGAATCTAACCGGACTAACGATTGGCCAGTAGAATTATTGAACCAGTTACAATAGCGATTCAACACATTTGATTGGACGGTTCGGGATGGACCAAACAGTTTTTAATACTTTAACATGAAACCAGATGAACAATCCCGATTTAACTGGTCCACTGGTTTACTATTTTAACCCCGAAAAATGTAAAAAAAAATACTTTAATGCAAAGACCATCTAGCCTCAATCACATATTTTATTTATGATTTTTTTTTTTCATTTCTCAACCTCCTTTTCTGATTTATTTCGTTCATTACTGGTTGTTATCCTGGTTACTAACTTGAATTTGAAATAAAAATTATAATTTCTTTTGTGGGAT